TAATTAGTTAATTTTCAGCTTCACCACGGGTATCAAGTACTAATCATCGCATTTCAATGAAACTTGGTACATAGATCCTTTAGGACTATGCAGAGACCTGATTAGTTTCAGGGTAAATAATTGTGCATATTAATTACCTAATTTGCATAATTAATTTTCAGCTTTTTCTACTGATAGCTAAAGTACTAATCATCACATTTCAATGAATCTAGAATTATGCAGAGACCCAAGTTTTTGGTAAATATTTGTGCATATTAATCACCTAATTTGCATAATTAACCAATTTCCAACTTTCACACTGATATCTCAGGTACTAATCATTACATATCAATGAATGTTTATACATGGATGCTGTAGGACAATAGACAGCCCTGGATAATTGTGGGTTAAAATCTGTACATATTAATTACCCAATTTGCATAATTAACCAATTTTAAGCTTTCACACTAATATCTAAAGTATTAATTTCCATTTTAATGAAACTTAGTACAAAGATGCTCTAGGACAATGTACAAACCTAATTAGTTTGGGGTAAAACTCTGTTCATATTATTTCCCTAATTAGCATAATAATTCATAATTTTTTGATTCTAATCACATTTCAATTAAACTTGGTACATAGAGTTTTTGTTACATTGCGCAGACCTCATTAGTTTTACAATCAAATCTGTTCATGTTAATTTTCTGATTTGCATAATTAGTTTTCAGCTAAGTAATTTCAAATTATATTTAATGTGTCTCCAATACTCTCAGCACATGGGAGTTCTTTCTAAGCTTTCTTTGATTTTGTCATTAGCAAGTATAAATTGTTACTAGTATGACTATATTCATCACTTTGAATTCCAAAATAAAGCGTGTAGCGGGTCAAACTGTTTCTAGGCAATCAATATCGTTTTATTAAGAATATTAAGAGAGAAAAAATGTAAAGCTGTGTGAATGGATTGAAACTACTGCTGATAAAAGAGATAAAAAGCTAAAACGACAGTGTCTACGGAAAATTAGATGGGTGCATGCTCTTTGCATAAACGGAAACGATGGCTTTGTTTATTTGGCCGATGTCGACGAGCAACAGATTTCCTGTACTCACTTTCTTGTCGGATCACGGCCTCACGTATCAGTGTCGTCATCGGTTAAGTAGTTGAAACTCTTTCGCGTTGATGCGAATATTTCAGTCTAATCGTTCCTTTGGAACCACTCGCGAGGTTGGTCATAATATGACTTAGACGTGCTAGCAATCTGTTGCGATTCCGATAAAAAATTCTTGAAAAATAAATATAAATTGCGTAAACGAGGGGTGAAGGCGAAAGTCCAGGCTGCAGGTCTAAATTAGTAAATATGACCCTGAGTTACAGATTTTTCTTTGCCTCGTCTGTCATTGGCGTCTTTGCTTTTCTTTCTTTTCATCATCATTGCGTTAGTAAGATTGTGTTATTATAGACTTAGAAAATAAAACGATTTCTCAGACGAAGTCTTGACTGATAATAATGCTGACAATGGACGTTAGATTAATATGCATTGTTTGCGACAGGAAGCTTGTCACCCGTTCTATCAGAATCGTCAACAACAGAGTATTACCGGTAGTATACATATACATGTTATAAACATTATGCAAATATTAACGAAATGGTAGTAGTGTTAGCGTTTGAGCACTAGTCTTTCCGAAATTTCAAAAAGCTGGCATGATTAATCAATGTACAAAGTAACTGTTTTATCAATTGTTGAAAAATAAAAAAAAAATAAAAAAAAAATAAAAAAATTTCCCTTCCCGCTACATTAAGATCAATATGGACCACCGATATTTGTCGTTCATTTAAAAAAATAAACCATAATTTTCAGTAATACTGACTTCGAAAATTATGATACAAAAATAATTACATTCATACCACAAACCAATGCCGTTTTTGTTTACTTTTCACAACTGTTACAAAGTGGTAGAGTTGACTTTTCAGAACTCAGAACTCAGAACCCAGAACCTAGAACCTGGAGTGTGCCCCAGACGAAGAAATTGGGGTTAATGAATAAATCGGTCGTTTTTGGCGTCTGCATATTTTCGATCGGAAACGCAAGGGCGATAAGACTCTATTTTCAAGGACGCAGGTTGTTGGGATCGGACTGTTTATTTTGTTTCGAGTTCGTGTAGGTCTAGAAACATGACAACATTGTTTTTTAGTGAATACAGAATATGTTCTGTTTCAATACAAGATTTTGATATGCCAATCGGGCAATTTTAACAATTTCTTACTGGAGCGTCCCCTGTATAAATGGTTCTCTACTCTCCAAAAAATGGTACCAGACTTCCTGTTCAGCGCGTCTTTGACTGTAGCAATGTTTAAGCCACTGTACGAAAATACGCACACACGGGAATTTGACAACATTCCCTTGAGCGTTGTAGGATAGTGGGAATAGATGGAAATACCAGTTACATCATTCATGAAGATTGATGATTCGATTGCTGGGTGGTATAGCTGTATTTAATGTTCATTTATATGCAATAGGTCTACACTTGCGATTCTCAATTTCGATGTGTAAAATTATATCGCTGCTGTGGACGGCGACGGCTGACAGACTGTTTTGGCTCTGCGGCTCTCTTTGACACGGGCAACTAATTTTTAGGTTGCTTTTTTGTTTTACTATTCTGACGTTTACTTGGTCGCATTGTCAGACACTCACAGTAAGTAAACGGGCCGGAACATAGTCAACATGGAACTCGGAGAAAGTGTCATTAATGAATGAAATTTACATTACAATTTCATGCTTCCGAAAAATCCGACATTTAAGCTGGATACTGTGGAGAACAAAGTATACAAATACTGTCTACGATGTACTGCAAAGTGGAAATAATATATGTATTTGACCGTTGTTTTTTGTACAAAATTCCAAAGTTACCCCATAAATAGGCAGTCAAAACCAACGTGCACGTTACACTATTTAATTTTTCTAGTCAGCGGTGTGAT